TTTTTAGTGTGCGTGCATATATATATATATATATATATATATATATATATACTATTATTAGTTTTTAAAACGTTGAGTCAAAGTGGACTCTTGAGTTTATAATCTTTCGATTTTTTTAAATCCAAATTTTTTCAAAGCCTTTCCATACGTATTTAGGCTATTCTCTCTTTAAGTTCTTCCAATACAAGGTTAAATTTAATGTTTTTATTTATGAATTCTTACCTAGTTCAACAAGGAAAGATTTAATAACCAAAAATTAGTTAATTTTAAAGTCCTAAATATTAACATGTAGTATTATGTCCTAAAATTAATAGGATTATAAGGTTAATATCTAGAATTCCGGTTATATCCTTTTATTATGAGTTATCATACTTAATATTATAAGGTTATTTTTGTAAACCGACGTTGTATTCATACTTTTATAATAATATAGATACATATAGATAGATAGTTATCATCCTTATGACATTGTTCAAATTTATTTGCTTACCGATTACTTGATATCCTTTAACCCAAAACTTTTGAATAACGCTGTAAGCATCTCATTAACTACTAGTACTTCATTTGTTCCATTTTTATGTGATAAATATTTCTTTTTTAGTTCATTTTAAGAAGAATGACAACTTTCTAAATTCGAAAATAGCTAACCTAAAATTATCATTTTATTCTTAAGAATATTTTAACCACATAAATATCTATTGTCAAAAAAAATTCTTTTTTTGTTAAGCTCCGTAACAACTCAAACTTTGTTACATAAAATAAAAATAGTATTTATCGATGGAAACAATAAGAAATAATTAAAGTAAGTGAGCATATAAATATACAAAATTCATATTTTCGAATATTTAAACACAAATTATATTCATTTGGGCACGTACTTTTTGGCATGGGCAGTAACAAAACTATTTTAACTTATCCAAATATAAACATAAAAAACAATTGGATGTTGCGGGCGCAATTTGAGATTTAGAAGGACGAAATTGCATCTTCGCTAAAAGTTTGAGGGTCAATACGACTTCCGAACGAGAAGTAAAAACCTAGTAGGCCGAATAACTCCCCTGAGTCCGACTTCAAACCCACTCACTGAACTGACTGAGTTAATCTCCGGCGATCTCGCAATCGCACTGACCTCCATTGCAGGTACTCCAGTTATCATTCTCTCTTATACTCTAGTAGAAATACATATAGGCAACCAACACTTGTGTAAATGCAAATTCTGAGGTTTAAATTGCTAGAATTTAAAGCTAAAATAGTTCGATTAGCGATGATATGAAGTTTCTGACAGCTAAAAATTAGTATCTGTGAGCTTCCAGTATGAAGAAGTTCCTTTTTTCTGATCTATGTAACTATGTTTTTGAAATGATATGTTCAAAAAGGTATCACTTGAAATGATGCGGCTTTTCATGAAAGAATGTTTTGTTAAAATGACTGTTCATAAAAATGTGTCTTTGTTGGTTTATAAATAGTTATAGTAAGGACGAATTCACAGTTCATGTCGTTGTCAATTTGTAGAGTTTCAGTGAATCTCTACCGGAGATATAACGTGAATCCTCAAAGCTAGGATGAGAGAATTAGGGAATTATTTGGTATTTCTAACAACAAAAATTCTTAATTTTTTGTTGTATTTTCAGAGAGTCTTGCCATTATCCTGTTAGTAAACCTTGTAGTGGGGCAAATAATTTGCTAAAGAAAACCATTAAATCATGGACCTAAGCATTAACTCCTATTGTTATTTCTATAATCTTATTCATCTAAACCTTTTGACCAACGATACTCGCATTAATAGATTGTGCTTTCGTTGCATACCTTGAACTGGATTACATTTGAAAGGGGTAGCAATATTTTACATGATTCTTCTTTAAGTGTATGTTAAATCATGTCCTTCATGTCCTCCCCTGCCTAATAAAAATTACCAGTACTGGAAGAATTCATTTTTTGATTTAGAATAAATGTCAATTTCCTATCTTGTTCTTGTCCAAAACCGACATTCGTGGAATACAAAACAACAATAATCTGTGGGGCAATTGTCTTTCAGCTTTTTTTTTCTTTTTCTTTCAGACTTTTAACTTTTGTCCTGGTCATGAGATACTAGAGTCCTTTAATTGGACACTGTAAAGACACTGGATGTGCCAATTTTCCCTCAATTGAATTTTTTTAGTGCCATAGTATAATTTTAAAAGCGAGATGGAGTGCGATAAAACCAGACTCAGTGACTCACAATCCATTTAGTAGAACTCTGACCAGAGAGAAGAAAAAGTAGTTAGCTCGTACCATATGCTGTCAGGCAAAGACACATGTTTAGATTCCTTTTTATTGATTGATGTGAAGATATATTGGAATTCCTTTGAATACTGTACTAGTAGTACTTATACATTTAGTACTAGTGGCTCTAGCACTTATATGGACGGTTTGGAGGGAGAGAAATATGAGAGCTTTTGAAGGAGTAGAAAATGATTTTTTATACTTGAGGAGTAGCCTCTTATCTCTTATCGCTTTTTGGTGCACCCGCACAATTTTCATTTGTATAGAAGATTGAGTGACTTGTAGAAAATCATATCTTTTTGTAAGGTTTTCTACTTTTTGGTATTCTTATTGTATACAGGTATTTTTTTGCACCCTTCATCAATAGAATTTTGTTACTTCATAAAAACAAACTTTTTAAAAGTGGTTTGCTAGGTAAGTGAAGGCATCTCTTGCGACTTATGAAGTTGATCAAATGTCTACTTTCTAGTTGTCAATGTGTTGTGATAGTATATTTTGGAAATAATTAAGGTTAAATATGTTACTATAAATATATGGAAATCAACTCCATGTTGTGGTTTTTGGACAGTTTGGAGAGAAACAAATATGTTTGAGAGCAAATCTATATCTATTGATATGTTGAAGTGTAGATGCTTATGTAACTTAGCTTCACGGTATAATCTAACTGATATGTTTGATGAGGGTAAACTAATAGAATGTGTTAGCTCTTTGCAGGAATGGCTGTTATAATCTTTGAAGTTGTATTGCTCAGCACCATCTTAGTGCCGGTGGCTTTTGATTTCAATAAAAAATTTACTTTATCAAAAAGAAAAAGAAATATTATACCTGCTAATTTTCATGCCTCCCCATTCAATTCCATATTATATTTTGATAAGGTAAATATTCTTGATGGTGGGGAGGAAAAACTTAAGTTTACAAGTGCTATACAAGCAAGTGGACAATCTACACTAAAACATAGCTCCACATAATGCACCCAATCATTTATGCTTACATGAACTTCTTTGGTGCTCCAAAAGTTTGACAAAGTTAGAAAGTTTGTTAAAAAAAAAGAGTTTAACAAAGTTAGAAAGTTAGTTCTAACTGCCTTTTACCTTCTCAGAAAAAAGAAAGGAAGAAGTTAGTTCTAACTGGTACAACATTCGATTATTCAATTACATATTGTACTCTGCGCTAGCGTCCTTTTTGGTGCTACTTTTGAATATTCTATAGAAATAGAGATCGAGTTACATCTAGGCTGCTGGTGTTTTTATTGGATTGAGCAGCCTTCTATTCTAAGAACCATTCTTCCTTGATTTCAAGGTTTCCAATGTCAACCTTTGCTACTGATGAGCCTCAGCAGAACACTAAGTTCTTGGGTTTTTATCATTCTCTGGTATTAGGAGATGGTCACTCTAGTTTGACTTATTTATTTTTTAAGAGCTTAAATATATTCTAAATTAAATTATAGAGATTGTACTATAGCAAAAAGTGAAATAAAAAAACCGTGTTTGTATTTTGGTGCATTTGGAGTCTGTCACCTTCTATTTAAGGTAGTTCTTAAAGCTACGCAGAATGAAATAGGAAGATGTCATAAGTTATTGCCGTGGATCTTTTGACCCATTATTAGGAAGTGCATCCTAAGCTAACCCAAAGCAAGATCAAAGGGTGTAGTTTGTTTGAGTTTTCCTTATATCAACATCTCCAATCATCCCTTTAGTTCATGCAAATCACAAAATTTCAATCACTTCTTAGGGGGAGCGTGAGATTTTTTGACCATCTTTAGAGCCCGTTTGGCTTAGATGATTTAGAGTAGCTGATAAGCATTAGGTACTGAAAAGCACTTTTAAGTGTTGAAACTGATTTAAAAAATAAGCAGTTATGTGTTTGGATAAAAGTGCTGAAATTAATAATATGCAGCTGAAGAACTGGGTATACGAAGAGTTTTGTTTTAAAAAGAAGTATTTTAGGGATAAAATAGTAAATATTTTGGTCAAACTTAAAGTGCTTATAAGCTGAAATTTGATAAGTTGGGGGAGACGAACTTATGGTTTTTGGCTTATAAGCACTTAACTTATAAGCACTTTTAATTAGATAAGCCAAAAAGTGCTTATAAGCCAGTTTGACCAGCTTATAAGCTTAGCCAAACACCCTCTTAAACATTGAGACTTGAAAGATAAAATATGGAAATACAGAGCACGTGCAAACTGTTATTTCTCATGGGTCCTTATTGGAAGTTGATATCTATTGCTTTTTTATATGTTTTGTTCATATTTCCCTCTTGTGCATCTATCATACTCTTTTTGTCTCGGGTGTGTGTGTCATAAATGATTCAGATTTGTCACGTTTAGAATTTTCTTGTGTTGTTTAACAGAAGAAAGAAACATCCTTTATGTTCTGCTTTTACATTTCTTACGAGAATTCTTCTTTATTCTCCTTCAAATGTTTACGAATCTTGTCTTGTAAACCATTTGTATACCAAGGGGATCCTTGGAATATCAATAAAATATTACTTTATCTGAAAAATGTTTCCAACTTCAGTTGTGCTACTAAGAAAATATCACAACATGTTATGAAGTTTCTGCCTATGCTTTTAAGAAAATATTATGACGTGTTACAGAGTTTCGGACTATGTTTTCCATTAATGGATTTCTTGCTTGAGTTGGCGTTAGTCATCTTGTTGGCATGTTGCAGTGTGCATCTTGTCTTAGACTCTTAGCTTTGCATGTTCCATGGTCTGATGCAGTTCAATTTTGTGATTCAGGAAGTTGGTTGAATCAAGAGGACACAAAAAATGCCACTTTACGACTGTATGCTTTTGCTGAAGCCCCATGTAAAGAACGAGGCTCTGATGGACCTTGTTGTAAAGGTCGGGAAGCATGTTTATCGAAGAAATGGTGTGCTTGCAGATTTAAAGTCATTTGGAACTGTTCAACTGGGTTATGGCATTAAGAAACTAGATGGAAGATACTATCAGGTATGCCTTTCTGCCTATCCTTTCAGTAATGTTATATCAGCCCTTTTTTTCCTAATAGGTAAATGATTTATCAGAAAGGCCCATAACATTTAACTGTGGGGTCCCCAGAAAAACAAAGGGGTTTCCTGCAAAATTCCCAAAGGACAACCCTGCAGAAAACTATTAGTCTATTGACATATCATCACTGCCATATTTACCTTATCCTTTTCCATGTATGAAATTCTGCCATTTATCGGAAAAGCCCGTTTAATAAAAGATATGATAAATTCCTACTTTTAATCCCCATATTCCGCAGTGGACAAACTTCCCAGACTCTTTTTTTTTGCACTATCCTCCTCCCCTTGCTCAAAAAAGAAAAAGAATTTTTCAGATGGCTGCATTTTTTTGATGGCGAAAAGATAAAATTTTCAAATGGCTGCATGTCGTAGAATAATATTTGTGTACATTTAGATGTAAATTAACACAGTCTCACATATTACACATGCACATTTAGGGGATTGAAAATGATATAATCTAAAAAAATGATTTTGTACATTTGAGGAATAACCTCTTGACTTGATAGCTTGTTGGTGCACCCTTGAGGTTCGTATTTGTATATGTGACTGGGTATCTTTCATCGAGATTCATGTTCGGATATAGATTCTCAAGTTTTTGATTTATCTCTTGTATACGGAAGCTTTTCCCATTGTTGATAAAATTATTTGCTGTATTTGATAAAATTATTCACTGTATCAAGAATAAAAAACATAGGCAATCTTGCTAAATGAAAACTAGTTTCAGATCAAGATTTAAAATCAAGGTACCTGGCAAAAAGATTTAAAATCAAGATACTAGATCAATTCAAAGAAACTACTACAAAATTATAGTCCGTTGGAGAATCTGCCATTTGTTTTGTTGGTTAGTAAACATTTAATTGAATCTCGAGCATTTTTATAGATAAATCCTTGAAACCCTCATAAGCATTTCATTCATGCTTGTAATTTTGACCTTTAGTCGTTCCAATTTTCAATTTTCTGTCCAGCACTTTCAAGAGTTCTTCCCTTTTAGCAGTTTGAGAGCTATTTATCCCCAGCCTCATTTCTTCTTCTGCTGCTTTCCATTATTTTGGTGCCTGATAAACCAAACTCCAAATTAGTTTTAGCCCTTTAGGGACTGTTGCAATGACCATTCTTCTGTGATGCACAAATGACAATACACCTCTGAGAGCTTAAGGATTGGACTTTCTCCTGCGTTTTCACGAAAGAAGTTAATTTTTCTTTTGTCAAACTTTACATTTGAGTGCCTGTCCTCAGTGTTTGATTATTCTTAATAAATTCAAGGATATTGCATGTTTCTTAGGGTAAACTGGTGCAAATGACAGTGATGACACCACCCAGTTTAAACAATGAGCTGCATTACCTGAACAAAGAAGACCGCTTGCTCCGCTGGCTTTTGGTTAAGCATCGAGACGTCAAATTTGGATCGGACTTTTTGAGTGAAGATGATTCCAAGGCTGAACTAAGTTCGTTCAGAAGCAACTTGTATGAGGATGAAGAAGAAGAAGAAGAAGATGATGATGATGACGACGACGACGGTGAAACCGATGAAACTGAGAGAAACAAAGTGTAGAAGGCTGATGAATTTCACTATGAGCTCACACTTTTTTTGCCTGTTCGTCAGCAATCATTGTACTATCTCAATGAACATAATTGTTTGCCAAGAAGCTATGTGGAGTCTGTCTGAGAATTTTCTAGTGCATGGCTTTTGTTGCCTAGAAACTAGATATACAGTTTAATTTTCTCAAATAATCCAGATTGTTAACCAATGAGTCTCTGTTCACTGTATGATTTCAAAACTCGGTAGCACATGGAAATTCGCATGGATGAAAAAGACGGTAAAGTTTGTTTAATCAATAAACCCAACTTGGGAGTGAGCTGATCCATTGTAGCCAAATATCGGAAAAAAGACTTACTCGAACTTGATGTTTACACCAAAAAAATAAATGTATAACACACATTTTTAATATATACTTTTCACTTAATCACGGTATTAATATGGATTTTCATATTAATTTATTGCTTAATCATGTGATAAATTTTTGCAGCTTTGTGTAAATACTAGATGTGGATGAGTTTTTCTCTGAATGATATGATCTTTTCGCCCTTAATCAATAGTTTTTGGATCAAGATATGTGAATGAAAATAATTTGCGAAAAATTTATAAATGGCCGATTTTACGCCTGGTCAATCAAATTTAGCCACAAAATCAAAGGTCAACGATACTTAGCCGCGAAGTTAGCACGGTAATAATTTGTTGACTAAAATACCCTTACTTTGTTTATTAAATTTACGCGACTTGACCTCATATTCTTCTTTAGCACAATCTTGCGGCGTCAATCTGCAAATCCAAGTAAGCTCTCTCAATTATTTGTCTGATTATTTGAATTTAACTGGTTTGAATTTCTTCTACAATCACAAATTGATTTGTGATAATCTATGATTCTTCTCTTTGTAATTCAAACCAGAAAATTCAAAGTATCAGTAAAAAATTTTGATTCTTCGAATTTTCTAGTTTGTTTTTAATGCTTTAATCTGTGTTAATGTCTAATTTTCTCAATGCATTAATCTGTGCTTATTTGTATTATATACCTTCTTTTCTGGAATTTAGATCGTAACTAATAAAATCTACATTGTTCAAAACCACAAAAAATAAAATAAAATCCCGCAAAACATAACGCCAGTATAATTTGCTGGACCTTTCTAAATTAATATCTAAAGCTGAGATACTTCCAGCTTATTATACTGGAAAAATCTCATAAAATGGTTTTACAATGCTTGATTCCAAAAATGAACAAAACCAAGTATAATACGCCGGAGCTTTTTGTATTAATCTACAAAATTCAAAAAGCTACAATGTATTACACTGGAAGTATCTTTCATCCAAACTACTATAAAAAAATAGTAAATAAAATGTTATAGAACAAAACACCAGTATAGAATACTGGACGTTTGTTAATTTAATATGTAAAACTTAGACATTTCCAGTATATTCTACTTAAAGTATGTGTGACTGCAGTAACCCCAGAATAATAAGCTGGAATTTGCTTTATTAATATGAATATCTCAAATAATTCCAGCTTATTATACTGGAGTTATATTTTTAAATAATATTACTTCTAAATATCTAATTATTTGGGTTCATTAAATACAGGATGTATACAAATTTCTTGCTTATCGCATTCGATGGCAAATGGACAGCATATTACAAGTACTTAGATCATAAAACAAAGCTTTTTCTTATAAATGATGGGACTTCATTTGAAGAATTCATGAGTAAAAATTTTCAAGTTATAGAGTTCGACAACAACAAGTTTGAAGCAAAAGTATGGCTTAACATTAACCTAGGTACTGCTAAGGGAATACAAATGACAAAAGATGAAGATCCCACCTTGTGTATGATGCTTTTAAAAAATGATCCATACTATAAAGGTTCCAAATTTGTTGTTGAAATATCAGAAATACAAAATCAACAACCAGAAGGTAATGCAATAATGGAAATTGACAATCAACAATTATTGCACAGAACTACATATGTTCTAGAAGAACAAGTGATGCTGATATCTCAAATAGCAGAAGAGCAGGAGATGCCTGTCACAACCCAATTCCCGAACCCGGTCGTGATGACACCTCTCGTGAAGACAAGACCAGCCAGACCAAACAGAACACCTCTTTTAAACAGTTAATATCATAAATAGTTCTAAAGCATGATATAATATCCATAATTTGCGGAATTAATGATAACCTCAGTAAGAACCATTCCGACACAGCCCAAACAGGGGTGTCACAAGTCATGAGCAACTAAGAAATTCGGATACAAGTCTACTGAATACTAAATCTGATACAATAGTTCTAACAAACATGAAAATGATAAGATAAGAGAGGCACGGGGCTGCGAACGCCAACAGCTATCTCGTAGTCTCCGAATCACTGCCTGGACTGGGAGAATCAACACTCAGGAGCGGACTCTGCGATGCCTGAATCTGCACACATGGTGCAAGGAGTAATGTGAGTAATCTGACTCAGTGAGTAACAATTATAAATAATGGTTGAAAGTATGAAAACACGTAAAGGTACAAAGCAATTCCATATCAAGCAGTAAAATCACTTAAAGCAGTAAATCAATGAAGAAATCAAATGATATCCCTTTTTAAAACAAGTAAAACAAGTAAATTAACAGGTAAATAACAAGTAGAAATCCGCCCCTCGGGCACAGTATCAATCGCTCAGAACAGTATCAGCCCCTCGGGCTCACTCTCAGATCATAATGGGTACTCGCGCTCACTGTGGGTGTGCAGACTCCGGAGGGGCCGCTTACGGCCCAAGCGCTATATCAAGTCACCTCGTGGCATCATCACTGGGCACTCGGCCTCACATCACTCGACACTCGGCCTCACATCACTCAACATATCCTCATATATGGCCCTCGGCCTCACTCAGTCCGAAAATCATCACAAGCCCCTCGGACATTAGTAAAACAGTAGTTCTCAGCCCAAAGCATCATTTAGAAATATCATATAAGTTTTCAAATTTGAGTAAAAGTGGCTGAGTTTGTAAAACAGTAGACATCAACAGGAGTGAGTTCAAATAATAAGTCAAAGCAGTGAGGAAATAGTGATAAAAATCCCCGAAGGGTTCAAATAGTTGGCACAAAGCCCAAATATGGCAATTAGCTCAAATCGTGATGATAACAAATAAATTTTGGTCAAATACGCGGTAAAATCATCAATCGGGACGGACCAAGTCACAATCTCCACTAGTAAAAGACCACATGCTCATCATTCAGCGCGTGTCTCACCTCAATATAGCACTACGATGTGCAACCCAGGGTTTCAAACCCTCAGGACATCATTTACAATCATTACTCACCTCGAACCGGCTAATTCTCTAGCTCGCGACGCCTTTGCCCCTCGAATTGGCCTCCACGCACGTCGAATCTATCAAAAATCAGAACAAATACGTCACAATCTGCTAAGGGAACAAAGCCCAAGCGAAAACATTCGAAAAATATCAAAAATCCCAAAATTAGCAAAACCCGAGCCCCGGGCCCACATCTCGAAATCGGGTAAAATTTACATTTTCAGAATCCTCATACCCTCACGAGTCTAACCATACCAAAATTATCCAATTCCAATACCATTTGGTCCTTCAAATCATTATTATATATTTTTGAAAGGTTTCACAATTTTCTTTCCAAATTCCATCCCAAATCATGAATTAAATGATGAATTCAATGATAGATTCATGTACTCCAGCCAAATCTGAGTTAGAATCACTTACCTCGATGAATTTCTTGAAAAACCTTCAAAAAATCGCCAAAATCCGAACTCTCTAGGTCAAAATATTAAATAAAACCCAAAACCTTGTATTTATAGAGTACCCCTCAGATCTCAGCCTCCGCGATCCGCACAGAACTACCGCGGTCCGCACAAAAGCACCGCGGTCCGCACAAAACCACCGCGGCCCGCACAAAACCACCGCGGCCCGCACAAAACCACCGCGGCCCGCACAAAACCACCGCGGCCGCACTTCATTTTGTGCGGTCTGTGCCGCACATACCGCGGCTGCACTCCTTTTTGTGCGGTCCGCGCGGGTGAGTTCCGAGGCCTGCAACCCTTCTGGACCTGCTACAGCTATGATTTTCGGCCTAAAACATCTCGGAACCTACCCAGTACCTACCCGGAACTCCTAGAACCTCAAACCAATTGTACCAACACATCCTATGACATCGTTCAAACTTGTTCAAAACATCGGGACGCTCACAACAACATCAAATTACCAATTTAATAGGGGATTCAAGCCTAAGAACTCCAAGAACTCTTAAATTATGCTTTCGATCGAAAAGTCTATCAAATCTCGTCCGAGTGACCTAAAATTTTGCACACACATCTCAAATGACACAATGAAGCTACTGCCACTCTCTGAATTCTATTCTGACCTCTATATCAAAATCTCGCCTATCAACCGAAACCGCCAAAATATCAACTTCGCCAATTTAAGCCTAAATCTTCTCTACAACTCCAAAACCAATTCCGATCACGCTCCTAAGTCACAAATCACCTCCCGAAGCTAACCCAATCATCGGAACTCACTTCCGAGCCTTCTAACACATATGTCAACATCTGGTTGACTTTTTCAACTTAAGCCTTCTTAAAAGAGACTAAGTGTCTCATTTCTTACCAAATCCTCTCCGAACTCGAACTAATCAACCTGATCACATAAAACACGGATAACGAAGGGTAAAGAAGTTAAAATATGGGAAAACGGAGCAGTAACTCATGAGATGACTGGTCGGGTCATCACATCCTCCCCAACTTAAACAAACGTTCGTCCTCGAACAAGTCAAGAAACATATCTGAAGCCTCAAACAGGTGAGGATATCTGCTCCGCATCTCCCGCTCGGTCTCGCAGGTAGCCTCCTCCACGGGCCGACCTCTCCACTGCACTTTCATTGAAGCTATATCCTTTGACCTCAACTTTCGAACCTGACGACCCAAAATTCCTACTGGCTCCACATCATAGGTCAAATCATCATCCAACCGAACCATGTTGAAGTCCAAAACATGAGACGGATCCCCAATATACTTCCGGAGCATAGAAACATAAAATACCGGATGTACACTCGACATGCTAGGTGGCAAAGCAAGCTCATAAGCCACCTCCCCACTCCTCCGAAGCACCTCAAAAGGCCCAATGAACTACGGACTCAACTTTCCTTTCTTCCCAAATCTCATAACACCCTTCATGGGTGAAACCTTCAGCAAAACCTTCTCACCAACCATGTAGGACACATTTCGAACCTTCCGGTCCGCATAACTCTTCTGTTGCGACTGCGCTGTACGAAGCCTCTCCTGAATCACCTTCACATTCTCTAAGGCATAC